CTTAAGCCACTTCCGCATGAGTGCAATTCCCGCCTGCCCCGGAGGTGACCACATGGGGCGGCAGACCTCTCCTGACCAGCCTGCTGCTCCCCTCAGCAGTGTACTTCGTCGATCTGCCTGTTCTATTCCCTGCTCTGTCTCTGGTGAAGCCTCTCACCGCCCCTGAGCCTCTGGCCTGTACCCCAGTTCTGTATGCACAAATAAATAAATCTTTTTTTTTTTATTTTTAAAAAGAATGAGCACATTCTTAATGTGGTTGAAATGAGAAACATTAAAAAATTTTTAATAGTCACATGATGAAAATAATGCTTATGGATACTCTTTATGAGTATGAGGGTGATTTAAAAAGGAAAATCAAGAGTCATGTCCTTCATCTGAGATGTTGCCATAACAATTTAAGTCATGTCCTTCATCTGAGACGTTGGATAAGGAATAGAAAAGAATATATGGTCTAAGTATATATTTTGAAGGAATAATTATCAAAATTAGCTGGATATAAAGAATGAAATTGGGGACTAAGTCACAGATATCTTTTGGATATTTGAGTGTAGGTCATTGGGATTTTGGGTGGTACCACTACAAAAAATAAAATAAAATAAAATAAAAAACAGAGCAGCTTGGAGTCACAAAGATTTGTTGTGTTTTAGATACTTAACTAGACTAAAATTCTGCAGTCAGGCTGTTATATTAAGCATGTTAGGTTTAGCAAAATGACAGTTGAGTGTCAAGAAAATATTTAAAAATGATTGTTTGTAGATATAGTAAGATAATAAAAATCCAGTATGTATTTATTGAAATAAAACGTCAGTGCAGGATTAAATAAGGATACAGATTTAGGAGACATCAGAATCATTTCCTAAAGTCATGAGAATGATTTATTTATGAGAGAGATACTTGCTTTGAAAGAAACACATCAACATCTTTTATAGAAACATCCTATGTAAAGACACTTCTAAAGGACTGTTTTCAATTTAAAATTATGAAGGATAATAAGTACATATTTAGTACTTGTGTCACAAAATAGACTCTTTGTATTTAATACTATCTGGAGAGTTTATGGTGTGTCAGTAAGATTGACACATCTTTTTCTTTCTTTCATTCAAAGTCACTGAGATATATGTAATACACAAGACATAAAGTAGATGAGTCTCTTACTCAGATCCAAAGTCATTTGTTGAAGACAATATCTCTGTCTACTTGACTCCAAATGAGATGTACCTAATGACTTTTTTTTTTAATTTACACTGGAAAATATTAGCAGATCATGTTCATAGTCTGTGCTTTCTCATGGAGGAAAGTTAGCCACTAATACAATGATATCAGTTAACTTTGAGTGGTATGGAAAAACTGCAGAGACTAGAAAGATGGGTTTTTATACAAGATCTTAATTATATCTTTGATTATATTTTAGCAGGAAGCTGGATGTATTGCTATTTGAAGATTTTGAAAACCAAAACTTGCCCTTTCCCTCATTCTTCTCTGAAAGAACTAATGCCTCCCAATCTGGTAATTATTTATAGTCAACCTTTTCTATTTTGTGAGAAATGTTTAACTGGAAAGAGGTCATTTATTTATAAATAATTAACCTAATGAAGTGAAAACACAACAACTACCATGAGTGAAAACCTACAAATGTCAGTTTCACTGTCAGTGAACTACTCTTTCCTTAGGGTAAAAGCAATACATGCTCATAATCTGACAATGAAGGCTGAATGAAGCTACCAATACCAATCAAGAAGTTAAACATTAGTAACACTTTCCTTTTTTATTAATAGCCTTTAAATTAAAATCTAGATTTAAAGTAAATTCAAGTAGTTTCCTTTTTCCTCCCTCACCTCTGTGAAGACCTTGACTCTCACCATTGACCATGTGGAATGTGAGCCTGTCTCTTAGAAGACACTGCACCAGACTAGTCTGGACTCACTCTAATGTCAGTACTGGAGGTAGATATACAAAAAGTTACAGCTTGCTCTTGGAGTCATTCTTCAAAGTTTTTGGAAGCAGTAAATGTATTCTTATTGCAAATGGAAGCAGTAAATGTATACTTATTGCAAATGTAATTAACATAGAGAAACAGCTTATAGAAAACCACATTAGGGTTGAGTCCTACACATAAAAGGGAATAATCAATCAAAAGAACCTCAAAGGTTACTTGTTTAAACAGTTCTTAATATTAATAACACATCAACTGTGTTTATATGATATTAGCCAATAAAAACAAGTATTTTCTTTGAAAAATGCACACAAATTTATACTAATTTCAATAAATCCAAGTGAAACATATACATGGATTCTGGATCTAGTCCAAATTCTCATATTTCTATATATACCAAAAGCTTTTCAGTATCAGGATTTCTGTTTTTATAAGTCAGTGCTTTCTTTGTTCATTAGCCATTTAAATGGTCTGATTCATTAATTATTTGACTTTTCTGAGGGTGGAGATGTACTCTCTGTGAAGATCCATGAAATACCTTTTTGACATAGAATTATTGGGCATATGTAATTTTTGTCATTTGATCCTGATGGCTATCAGTGTGTTCAGAGGAAAAAATTTAAAGACAATGATTTTGTTGGGAGGATCCTTGATATTAAAATGTTTGTACCATATTAATTTTCTCTTATAATTTCCCTAGCATGAAATATTCAAGTTGCTTATCAAGCTGTAGCTCACGGTCAAGTTCTTAAAGATGACAAGTAATAGTCAATCACTACCACATAACACCATACAAACATATAAATGTTCTTACCGACTTCCTCAACCATGTCAAAAAGTTAACAGCTATAATAAGTCATTTATCTACAAGGCTTATTCTTTGTGATAATCAGGTTTGAAAATATAATGAAATAAATTATAAACCACAGATGCTAAAATTATGAAAAAAGAATTACCAAACTGTAGTTTATATAGTTATTAGAGTAATAATAGTACCTCAATTATTAGAGTAGATAATAGAACCTACTCATTATCCTTAAGGATTAATTATTACAAAATTCGTTCCAATAACATCATTCAAAGAATGAAAAAAATAACTGGTTATTGGAAAGAGATCCTCAGTGTTACTGGTACTAGTCAATTCATTTCAGTATAACACTTGCATATCATTGAGCTAGAAAATGTCCATAGGACACAAAGTATATAAAGTGAATGTCTTATGTATAAATGCATATATTTTATAATTACTTGCAAATTAAGTAGAAGTCTTTTAAAATATAGAGAACATTTAATGTGAAAAATAAAAACAAATTTTGCAAGATCTTGAAATTTCTATAAACCATCAGTATCTTCTTTATCTTTGATGTTTACTTGATCTATTATTAGACAGTTGGTAAAAAGAAACTCTAAAACCATGAAGAGTCCACCCAAAAGTGCTATATAACTTTGTTTCTGAAGTCTCACTATACTATTTAAAATTGTCTTAGCTATAATCACAGATGTTTATTGAAAGGACATCATTTTATAGTTTACTAGCATAAACATTAATCATATTTTTATGAACTCTCACAAGTAATAACTGATTATTATTGATATGTAAACATTAAAGTCATTTAAAAAAAATTTTTTTATTTTAAAGATTTATTTATTTATTCACACAGAACTGGGGTACAGGCCAGAGATGCGGAGGGTGAGAGGATTCACCAGAGACAGAATGGGGAGCAGAACAGGCAGATCGATGAAGTACACTGCTGAGGGGAGCAGCGGGCAGGTCAGGAGAGGTCTGCCATGCCATGTGGTCACCTCTGGGGCAGGCGGGAATCGAACTCATGCGGAAGTGGCTTAGGCTTCTTAGGGCAATGCTTTAACCCGCTGCACCACCAGGGAGGACCCTAAAGTCATTTTTAATGCGCATTTGCTTGATGTCAATTTCACATTAGGTAAGTGCACCTATATAGAGAATCTAAACTAAAATCAGAATAATTTTAGCATCTTTTTGTTAGATTTTTATAACTTCTATTTTTGAAGTAAATCAAATCTACTGAGAACTTAGTTCCCTTTGCTAGACTAAGATATAATTTTCAATGCAGTTAAAGTGACTTGGTAAGTTCCATGAGCATTTTATTCAGAAACTTTTTATTTCTTATCAAAATTCTTTTTGACATATCATAGTATTGACTTTCTGCCTCAGTTTTTCCAAGTCTAAAATGTATTGGTTTGAAAGATACATCATGGCTCTGTTAGAGTATACTATGATTAGGCTCACAGTGATTTATAGTATTTTAGATGAAAGTGTTCTGTATAAGCGATAAAGATGCATGTTCAAATTTTTTTCTTTACTACTTCTGGCTTATAGCTTTTAAAAGATTCTTTTAAATTGCAATGTGCATTCTACAGCTTTAGTGATCTTCATTAGAGTTTATCTCCATAGATGAATGTAGTTATCTAATGTGACTTATACATGCTGGGGAATTTGCACAGTGAAACAAAACTATTCCTTTTTATTTTATTTTTTTGCTTGTGTGGATTGAATACATTCTTCCAACATAACCTGTTTTTTTCTTTTTTTTTTTGAGCTACAACGGAAAATACTAAAAATAACACATGCAGTCCTGTCATTACTTGTGAGGAAAATATCTTTGCCTAACAACTTAAGCGACTTTGCTCAAGGTCAGAGTAGAGACAAGCCTCTTGATCTACAGCCCAGTTTTTCCAGGCCACCTAACTTCATGGTCCCCTTCCTAGGAAGTGTACTCTAGAGTTTTGATGTTTCTATGATGTTTTAAAAATAAATGTGTCCACACCTCAATGTTGATTACACCTCACCTCCCAACCGCAAAAGTGTTGCCTTCTGAATCACCAGTTGCACCTTACATGCCCTCCACAACCTGGCACTGCTCTGTGAAGGTATTGACAATTACTTCACTATGTGGAAGCAGCTGGCTCAAATTGATCATGCTATCAGGTTATATCAGGACTGCAGACTTCAGTCACTAAACCTGTCAGACTTGTTTACTGTTGCCAATGACTCTCATTATGTTTCAGCCTCCCTTGTCCTGACCTGGCTGATGTAGATCAGATGGTGAGAGAATAGAAGTTGCCCCAGTCCTGAGTCCATGATGTATGCGTAAGTACTCAGTTTTTCTCATTCAGGATCAATGGGAACAGAGTTTCACTGCTCCTGGGACAGGCATACTTTAGCGGGTAGCAAGTGCTTTAAAATGAAGTTGTTTATGTATGTTATTAAATATTGTGTTAACATTTTATTTTGTTTTTAAATGTAAACTTTTTTGAACACGAGCCAAAGCGATCCTTTCTATATAGTAGAAAGAGATTAATAGTTATAGATTAACTATGTTATATTTAAATATTAAGAAAAACTATGGTACAAAGAATAAAGGATTTATATTTTCTAGTATGGTCAAAAGCTTGGTATACATTTTTGTTTTATGTTGCGTATTGAAATATTTTCTAGAAAATTTGAAATGTAAATGTGAGAACCTATTAGAATTTTTATTTGTTTGAGATAGAAAGTATGGTAGCAATTGATTATATATCATATAAATGAAAGATGAAAATTTAAATGTTCCTATATGAATAACTGAATTATAAAATATATGCTCTATGAGACAACTGTCATAGTTGAATTCCATCAGTAGTTTATCAACTAATGAATTTATGTTAAAGAAATTTATATCTATATCTATATCTATATATATTTACATTTAGGTTTTAGGCTTTATAGACTCAGAGAGGAATACCTGATATTTGATGATTTATTTCATTCAAATACCTACTTAGTCTAATTGTGTTTCTCAAAAAGATTCTTGGCCTTTCAGCCAAAACCACTTTCCCCCATGTTCTACACTTACTGATGTTTCAAACTTAAACATGATTTTGTGACTACAGTCATTTTGTTATTTCATTTTCTTTTAAATTAAGAACAATAATTTAGGCCTTTAATCTCTGGCACTCTTAAATGATGAGTGTTCTTGTTCTACCTACCTTACTCTAACATGACTTCAGAAGCCTGAGGAAATTGTCCATCTCAAACATAAGGCTAACTAACCCCATAGAGGTGTTCATGAGATCAAGAGAAAGCATCATCTCTACTTTTTAATAAATATGAGAAGTGTCATTCTTATTTACCAAAATAAAAGTAAAGACAAATGCCCCATAGAAAATCTCTTTTTTATTTAGTGAAATTTTATATAGATGTGTTAAAAAACTCAGTTTTAAAAAATCAGCAAAGAACTTGAAATTCTTTCATTTTTATTTCAGCTAGAATTTCAGAGTATGGCTTTACATATCAACTTGATTCTCTTCCCAACTTAAAAGAATCATCTTTACTCATTCACTTTTCAGAATATTATGCAGATATGAAGCCTACTCAGCTTGAATCCAGAGTTTATAGTCCTGAGGGTTTTAAATGTTTTCCTTTTGTATTCCATAGTTGTATTATTTTTAATACAGTTTTTTTAAGTCTATTATGGATTATAGCATAGAGAAAAGATACAAAGGTTAGGCAGCAAATTTATTGACTTCTTTGGTTAAGGTATTTTCTCCAAGAGATCTAATGTCAAAGAGAGAATGAGTTAAGTATTATATAAGTTCTCAGCAGATTTTTTACACTGTGTTGTCATGGAAAGAGTATACAGCATGAGATTAAGCAGTGTTCTAGATAAATAGGCACTGCATTTTTTTCTGGACAAGAAACTCATTTTTAAAGATCTCACTACTTTTATCTGTAAAATGCAGGGAGAGTGTACTTTAAAATTAATTGGGGTGGGGCCTCCCTGGTGGCACAGGGGTTAAAGTCTCAGCGCTATCAAGCTATTGCCTGTTACTGTGGCCCATATTCAACCCCAGCCAGTGAGCTGACCCACATGGCACAGACGATTGCTCCCCTCAGCAATGAATTTCAGTAGATCTGCCTGTTCTGTCCCCCACTCTGTCTCTGGTGAAACCTCTCATGCCCTCTCCCCACATTTCTGGCCCATACCCCAGTTCTTGTATGCATAAATAAATCTTTAAAAACTAAAATTAGGCCCTCCCTGGTGGCGCAGCGGGTTAAAGCACAGCACTGAGAATCTGAAGCCACTTCCGCATGAGTTCGATTCCCGCCTGCCGCCTGCCCCGGAGGAGACCACATGGCGAGCCAGACCTCTCCTGGCCTGCCCGCTGCTTCCCTCAGCAGTGTACTTCGTAGATCTGCCTGTTCTGCTCCCCACTCTGTCTCTGGTGAAGCCTCTCACCGCCCCTGAGTCTCTGGCCTGTACCCCAGTTCTGTATGCACAAATAAATAAATAAATCTTTAAAAAAAAAAAAAAAAAAAAAACTAAAATTAATTAGGGGAGGGGTCACCATTAATGTAAATTGAAATCTTTGTGGATAAGCACAAAATAATTTGGTTTCTTATTTGGTTCATTTTGGTATTATTTTGATTTTTTCTTTTTATGTGAACTGGTAATGAAATAATGTCTGACATTAATTTTATTACATTTTATCATATAAATAGTAAGTATAAATATTATATATGGAACTATTATTGCAGATATATTATTATGTGTGTATAACTTGCCATTATGTAAAACCTTTCTTACTGTGGGTTGGAACAAAATACATTCAAAAACACCTTATTGGACAAGTAAAGTCCTTTCAAATACTGAAATTCTAAAATTCAATCAAAAGTGTTAGTAGCTAGTTAATATGGACATACTAACTTTCTAGAGGCACTGAAATCCATTTACATTATCCCAAAGAGTAGATATTTTTTGCTAGTAATCCCCTTCTCTGATGCCCTGCACAAGTGAGGCTGAGATAACAGACATGGTTACTAGCAAATAGAGACCTTAGTGGCAGAGTCCACACCCTGATGGCACAATTTGATAAATGTTGAAAAAGAAGTATATCAGCGTGCTCTGGAAGTGCCACTCAACCTCCTCAAGGCTCCTCTGAACCTATAATGGTTGAGTCTTTAAAAGCTAATAGGAATCCACTGTAGGCAAGAGGAGGCACTCTGGGCCTGCAGAACATGGCCCCGCAAGAGTCATGAGACTTAGGATACACTTACAGGTGTCGGAAATTATCAGATGAAACTTGAGTGTTCAGTCAGCCTATGAAGGACCTGTAGTGCCTGATTAAAATCTTTGGATTTTATTATGTGTTGGGTAAAAATTTAAACAAGGTGAAGAAATGATAAATTTTGCAACTAAGAACCCTAATGGTGGACCAGAGCAGTTTGGTGGTTCTGTTGTCTTCTAAGTATAGTTGCAGAACACAATGCATTTGAATGCTTAGGCCTTCAGAATTATTCACATCAAATCCCAAGTCCAAAAGTCAATTCAAAGAAAACCAGAGATGCTTATAACTGCAGTTTTGTATTCTGTATATTTTATTTACTTCCAATAGTGTATGTGACTATAGTTTGAATTTTAATTGATTCCCTGTTGTATTTAAAATGTATTGACTTGTCTTTAAATTTGTAACAATTTTGTTATTATAATTAATTGCTTATTACCACTATCTATTTGAAATTGTCTCCTTTCAATGGAGTTCATTCAATGGTATATAACAATGATATGAAATTATCATTGGGTGAAGAAAATATATAGTAGTATATATTTTATGTGGGAACCATATGAGAGTCCCCTTTTTATAGAGTAAAAGTAATAAAATGCCAGAGTTTTATATAACTGAAATTTACCAAGTCTCTTACAAATCTTGCCTCATTTAGCCCAGAATATGGGACATGAAAAATGCAACTATAAATTACATATTTTATTAATTGTCAAAATAACATTAGAAAAAATTCTATTATCTAAAAAACACTAGATTGCCCAGCAATCTTGAACACATATCTTGACAATGTGATAAACTATAGCAAGTTGACTTCTAAAAATAAAAATAATTAATGTGTATAACAAAGTAAAAGGTGTATCTAGACACTAGTGTAAGCATGAAAGGGGAAAATTCCAGTTAATCCTTTGATCTACAAGGAGTCAAACAATAGCCATAACTCTTATTTCTGTTCCTATTATACTCATTGTCAGATTCTTACATTCTCTATGCTGCTTCTTCCGCAACAATCAGCAATAAACCTAGACAGTCAGAAGGACCTAAAATGAAATGGTCTTAAGAGAAATATGGCAGTGCTAATTATGGGAAGCTATACAAATAAGAATCTACAGTTTCATTTTGATATAAGTATTTTAAAATAGATTAAAATTCAAGTCATTTATATTACACCCTATTTCACATTAAACTCATAATTTTGGTCATGCCCATGTATCTGAGCAATTAAAGAATGGGTTTGACATATGAGTGTAAACACTGAAATGATATCAATGTTATTTTAGCTCTCCTCTCTACTAAGTCAGTGAGACATTTTGTCATTATGACTATCTGCCTTCCCCTCTTTATCATTCATCCTTTCATAACCATCTTTGTTCTTGGTGGTTATACCTTCATTTGCAATCGCAAATTTCAGTGGCTATAAGTGGTACTGGCATTTATGTTATTGGGAAGGTAAGAAAAGCTCAAGCCACATTTTCATTGTTTAGTATCATGTCACTTTTAAGAACTTGCTCACTCATGGGATATTTTGATTGGATAGCTGGGATATTATTAGATAAAATCATTGAGAAAAGTATCAACACCTTTCTGTAATATCATTAGCTCAAGAAGTATATCCTTTTTAGAGAGAAGACAGGCTTTGTCTTTTAATATTTATATTTGGGGCATCTCCTTCTTGTTTAGGACTGCTTCTGTGTTTAAACCTCCTGACTCAACAAGGACAGCAAAAATTTAGTCAGGACTTACTATTTCTTTAACTGTAGCAAACCATTCATTTGTCCTTATTTCAATTTATTTAGCTGTTTTATCTTGTTGACAGTGGCTTTTAAAAGAAACTTAAAATTACTAATAACAAACTGTGGCAACATGAAAGATACAACTTCCAAGCAAGAAAAACACTTCACATACTTATAGAATTTGTGTGTGTGTTACATGTATCTGCTGTATTGCAGTATTTGTTCTATTATATTTGTGCATGGGTCTCCATTAGTTGGAAACTTGGATGGCTGGGGTAGAACTGCAGTTATCAAGGAAGATAGCAAAGTCAATTAT